GGTTATTATTGGTAGGTACTTACTTATTACCATTTTTTATGTTTATGTTCCTCTCTATTTCTTCTTCTTAAAGCAGTCCCTTTAACATTTCTTGCAAACTGGTTTTGTGGTACTGAATTCCTTTAGTCTGCTTTTGTCTGGGAAGCTATTTCACTTTTAATTTCAAGTGATAGCCTTACTAGAAAGAGCAGTCTTGGTTGCAGGTTCTTGCTTTTCATTATTTTGAATACCTCATGACAATCCCTTCTGCTCTGAGGTGTTTCTGTTGAGAAATCCACTGACAGCCTTATGGGAGCAAAGATCCTCTTTGTCTTTAACTTTTGCCACTTTAATTATGATGTGTCTTGGCATGAGTCTCTTTGGATTCATCTCGATTGGGAGTCTGCTTCCTGAACGCATGTGACTTTTTCTTTCACCATGTTAAGAGAGTTTTCTGTCATTATTTATTTAAAGAGGTTCTCTATACTGTGCTCACTTCCTTCTCCTTCTGGTATCCCTATGATGCAGATGTTGTTACATTTCATGTTGTCCCAGAGTTCCCTCAGACTATCCTCATTCTTTTTCATTTTGTTGCTCTAATTGGTTTTTTTTCTACCTTGTCTTCCAAATCACTGGTTTATACATGGTTTCTATGTCCCTTTTCATGATGATGTAGTTTTCACTAAGTTTCTAGTAGTTTTCATTAAGTTCCTGTAGTTCTAATTTGCTTGAGCATCCTTATAAGCATTACTTTGAACTCTATGTCTGAAAAAGTGCTTGCCTCCATGTCATTTAGCACTTTTTCTGGAGAATCTTCCTTTTCTTTCATTTAGGGGTGTTCTTTGTCTACCCATTTTAGCTCTTTGTGTTTGTTTCTATGTATTAGAGAGAACTGCTATGATTCCCAGTCTTCATGAGGCCTTTTGTATTAAGTGCCTCTGGGACCCAGTACTGCAGACTCCTTGACCTCCTGAGCTGGATGTTCTAGGAATGTCCCTTGTGTGGGTTACCTGGGCCCTCTTTTGTAACTGGGTGTTGATTGCTGTTGGCCTGTTTATGGGTGGGATCAACCCTCAGGTTGGCTGTCTAAGGCTCAACCTGACAACACTCAAGCTACTGTGCAAGTGCAGTCTCAAGAGCTCTTGCTGTGCTCAGTGGCAGAATCCACATCACCTGTGCCTCATGCTTCAAGAATGTTTCTTGCCCTAGCCGGTTTGGCTCAGTGGTTAGAGCATTGGCCTGCAGACTGAAGGGTCCCAGATTCGATTCTGGCCACAGGCACGTCCCTCGGTTGCCAGCTTGATCCCCATTCCTGGTTGAGGCATGTGCGCGAAGCAACAAGTTGATGTGTTTCTTTCACATTGATGTTTCTCTCTCTCTTTCTCCCCCCCCCCACTCTCTCTGAAAAGCAATGGAAAAAATATCAAGTGAGAATTTAAAAAAAAAAATGTTTCTTGTGGGTTATGTGGACCCATTGTAGTTGCTTCTTGTTGAATGCTGCTGGCCCTTTTGTGGGTAGAGTTACCCCTCAGGCTAGGTGACTATAAGGTTAAACCTTGATCATTGTGTATGAGATGCTGTGCAGGGGTTGTGCCCTTGAGGCAGAGTTGTTTCCAGCAGGGTGTGGTGCATGTTGGATTTCTTTGGGTGTGTTGCTTGTGTGGTTGGATGGGTCAAGCTCTGGAGTGGTCTGATGCTTACCACTGTTTGTGTTGATTCTGAGTCCACTTTGATGGGGTTCAGGTACAGGTTGCTATCAGACATTGTGTGTAACGGGTTTGGGGCTACCTGTCTGGTGCTAACATGCTGTTCACCGTTTTTGTCTGTGTCTACTGGACCTGGGTGTGCATGGAAGGTCGGGTTCCTAGAGCTCTGAGCTGGAGTCAGATTGATAAAGACCAAGGCTCCCTGAGGTCAGTGTCCACCTGTTGGCTACACCGCCCCCCCCAGAGGTTACCTGGACTTCCTGAGAATCTTATGCAGAAAGGCTGTAGAGTGGGTCCAAACTAGCCACACCCCACTGACTTTTCCCTAGGGCTCAAGATTTGGTAGGTTGGAGTAACCAGGTAAGGCTTGACAGGCTTAGTGGGTCCCCTAGTTTGGGGCAGCATGGTCCATCACCCATTGGAGAGAATGTGGCCTTACTCCAGAGCTATACTTTTCAGACTCTGCCAGAGTCTCCATCTACCCCAGGAGGAGCACATCACAGGTTCAGGTTGGGTGTAGCCAGTTGTCCTCACTGTAGGAGCAAGCTCAGGAGGACAGGACAGGGTAACTTGGGCAAACAGACTGAGAAAATCTTTTGGGGGTGGCACCAACTGTGCCACTGGAGGGGGCAAGCTGCACTCCGCCTTTTAGCTCTGTAGCCCCACCTGCTCAAGCCCTGGACTGGAGCCTCTAAGGTAGATGAACTCTCAATATCCCGGCTCTGAGCAGAGCCTCCTTCCCCCTCAAAACTAAGCCTAGTAGTACAGGGCCACAGTCACACCTTTAGAGACCCTAATTGAGCTGCATTCCGTATCTCTTGGCTCCAAGCTGTGCTCTCTGTTCCCTTCCCCCCTGCAGTACTTGAAGGAACAGATCAAGGCAGACCTCTGCTTGGTGTGGTACCAGCCCTTGGCCCTCAGGAGGAATTAGGTGCTCACCTTCTCCTAGCTCAGCAGTGCCATGACAGAGACCCTGAGGGGAGGCTCCTAGAAGGTTGTGCTAAATGTCCCAGTTCTGAGTTGTGTCCCCTTTCCCCTGCAAGTATGCACTAGCAGGTCAGTGCCAGCAGGATTTGGAAGAGATCAAGGCAGCCCTCTGCTGGGGGTGGCACCAACCCTTGGGAGGCGAGAGAGCTGCTCGCCTCCCCCTAGTTCTGTAGCGCACTGGCAGAGACCCTGACAAGGAAGTCTTCCATTGGGGGTGGTGCATGCATAATGGGTGGGATACGGGAAAGATTGGTCCTTGTTCCAAAGCCACTCAGTTCAATGACTGTATGTCTATTGTTTCTCTGGAAAAAAGTGTGCACCTTAGGTGCCTGTTGGGAGCAGCCAACAGTCCTTTATGCCAGACTCGAGCTTGGCAGGGTGGTGTCACCAGTATTTATAACGCAGAGTTAGTACACTTTCTCCAGCTGGTGCTGTAAGAACAGAAGTGCTCGACCTTGGGAGATGGTGCCTGAGGGCGGTGTTGGATGTTGACTCAGGGCTGGGATCTCAGAAGCCTACCTTCTAGATATCCAGAGCTATGCCACCCAGGTCTTCTATTTATGGCTTCTGCATGCCAAGTCTCCTTATCTCTACCAAAACCCCAGGTGAGTGCTCAAGAGCGAGCCCTTGTGCATTGGCCCATAAGGAGGGCACCTGGGATTCAAGCAGATTCCCTCCTCTTTCCAGCGGACCAAGTCCCCGCTTGCTTTTCCTGCCAGATGCTATGCAGGCTCTTCTTCCTGGCCCTGGTGCTCTGGTTTGGGGGTCCCAGTGTGGGGCTGAGACCCCACATTCCTCAGGGTTTTCTGGCTTTAGCTGCTGCCCCTGAGTGCAGGGACCAGCCCTCTCCACTTCTCCACCCTTATTACCAGTCTCTGTGTAGTTTCTTTTTTCAATCCTTGGATATAATATTCCTGTTCAGGTGTCCTTCTGTTGTTTATTCAGGTTGATTGCTCTAAATTTTAGCTGTAAATCTGGCTTGACACCAAGAGGAGGTGTGTGTTGCTTTCATCTACTCTGCAGCCATCCTTTATCATTTCTTTTTTGTGTTGAGAAGTTAAGATCTGGTCTCTTAGCCACTTTGAAGTTCATGATATGCTGCTGTTGAATGTAGTCACTGTGTTATGCATCTGACCTCCAAGACTTATTCATCTTCTAGTTGTAAGTTTGTACCCTCACACATCTCCCCACCTCCCCACCCCCTAGGAACCATCATCCTATTGTTTCTACAAGTTCAGAGCCATTATGATCTTATAGAGCCACCATCACATGTGCAGCTTTTCATTTACAAAAATGTCACTATGTAGCACTTGACTGTATTTGAAGGTTATTCCTTCTCACAGAAGAATGTACCAAAGCCCAGAGTAGCATCTGCTATGGAACCTCTAGCTGAGTCTCAGGACACTGAGGCCCACTCTCAGCCCAGCACAAAGTCTGTGCACCAAAAGAATGCACAGCTCTCTTCACTTCAAGGGTAAGAAATGCCTGAAAAGATGTGTCACCCTGCAAATAGACACCATTACACCAGAAATGCTGGGCCATCATTCCCTGTGTTCTCCCCTTCCCCTCCAATGTGCCTGAATGTACACTGAATATCAGTGCTCTGAGGGCAAGGCCAGCTTAGTCACGACAGGAGTATGTGATATAGGAGGCAGCTTCTCTTTCCCATCAGAGTGTTAAATGGGTAGTAACTGCACAAGGGTACGTACCATATGCATTGCAGTCATTACCACATGCATTTCCCTAGTGTCTTTTCACCTCCACTAAGCTCATTCTCTTCCTGTGAGTACCTACTGTGTGCTGGGCTTGAAGGAAGATGGACAGTGCAGCACAGAAGCTGCAGTTTACTAAACACTATGTCCCAGACCCGTATGTGCACCATGTCTTTACCCCACACCTTTTGTCCACGCAATGGAATCCAGCATCACTGCCCCATTTTACAGATGAGAAAACAGTGTGGGAGGCTTAAGTGATTCACCTCCTTCATGCACTGAGTAGGTGGCAAAGCTGAAATCTGAATCCAGGTGTGTCTGACTCCAAAGCCTGTGTTCTTAACTATTTTCCCTGAAGTAACAGAGAACAAGTCAATGTGCTCTTCCTAAATCGTATGAATCTGGAGTTGGGGCATGCAGAAAAGCAAGAACTGAGTGCAGTTAAACTGTTCACCTGCTCAAATCTGCCTGGGACACCACACATAGCTTAGCCAAGAGCCTACTCAATTCTGAAAAACAACTAAAAGATGTTAACTGCCCTTAACAGTCCCTCTCCCCCACCTCCTTTTTTCTCCCCTTAAAGGGCTAAGAAACATGGACTTCTGAGTGGGCAAAATGCTTGGAGAACATGACTGTATTTGACCACACTAGCACAAATGGCTAGAGGCTTTCTGACAAGCCAGCAGTGAGATGTGCCTTTGCCAAAGGGACCTCTGCCACCTTTAAATGAGCCTTTAGAAGATGAGGTCTTCAGGAAAAAGAGCAGTTATCCTTTCTTTCCTGTCAGAGTCCAGTGTTGTTACCACAATTAAAACACCCCATTTCTCACAGCGCCATTTTGCCACAGGGTCACATGCTCTATTCAACTGAGTCTCGGCCATTGCTCTGAGAGTTAAAACCAACAATAAGTGTCCTAGGTCCAAAGTAAAAATGAAAACAGCGAGTTTACTTGCTTTGAAATGCGAAAGACTTCCATCTCAGGCTTATCCCCAACCGGGCCCGGCCAGGTCTGCTCACTGCTGTGAAGGGCCTGACAAACAGCAGCTTGATCTCCAGGAGCCAAAGGAGATGCTGCTCCTCTGAGGCTCACCAGAGTCTTACAAATACAAAGCAGTGCAGATGTTGGCCAGAGGCAGACGGGCTTGTGTACCGCTGGTTTTTAAGGCATTCTGAACTATATTTCCTTGAGGATCATCAAGTGCAGAAAAGGTAAAAAACAGAAAGTTAGTCTGTGTCATAACCCAAAATGGGTCCAAGCCATTTCTCGACCTCAGCCACAGACATGTTCTTCCTCAGGGCATAATCCTCAACCTGTGAAAGATTAAAAACAGCTTATTAGACCAAAATGATACAATTTTTTCAATTGAAATTCCCACAGGATTTGCCCAGAAACATTAAGTACTTCCCATTTCTTAAGTTTTTAGCAATCTATTGAGTTAAATGGAGACAGATATTTGTTGGTTCACCACGTTGCCTGTGCTGTGGGCAGAAAACAGCATGTAGTAAATACATAAATCTTAGAAGCTGGCTGGGGTCCCAATGTGCATGCGTGTGCATGCATGTCTGTGGTCTGCGTGTACACGAGATGGCCAAAATCAGGTTAAAATCAAATCAAGACCTTAACTGAGATAAATGTCTTCCTCCTATCCCTCATGTTTTATGCTCATTCACCTGTGAAATACAACAGATTCTAAAGTTCCACTTAAAAGAAGACAGACATCCTGGGAAGCCACATACAATGAAACAGCTAACTTACCTGATCCTTGGAAATCTTCCCTACAGCAAAATATTTGGACTTCAAATTGGAGAAGTAGAGGCCAGACACGGCCGAAGCAGGCGCCATTGCCAACGACTCTGTTAACCGGATGCCTGCAGAGAGCAACATGGAAGACTCGCTCATGTACCTGTGCACAGCAGACCTGGCAGCTGGAAGGCACATTGATAGAAGTGTATCCATTGGATAAGAATAGTGGGGCTCTCCCTTCCTGGCACGTACCTGTGCACTGCTCGATGTCCGCCAGCTTCCACATGGTGAGCTTCTCGGTGTGGTCAGGCTGGCTGGGGTAGCCAGGAGCCGGGCGGATGCCCCCATAGCGTAGCCTTCGCAGGTCCGCGACGTCCAGCTGCTCACTGCCGCAGTAGGCCCACAGTTCTCTGCGGACCCTCTCATGGAGCTCCTCCGCAAAGGCCTGGAGCCCAGAACAAGGGGGGATCAGGCAGAGGCCAGAGCCCAGGCATCAGTGTTGCTGCTCCCCTCAATCAAAGCCATGCGGGCAGCACCCTCGCCTGGCCTGGCCAGGGAAATCCTGGCAGGAGGGCACTGGCTGAATTCTCCACTCCTTTGTAATGTCATTAGCTGCTGTGCTGGCTCAGTTTTGGCCTCAAATTGGTCACTGAAGTATCATATTTAATGATCCAAGGGCTGTAAGCCTTTTAACGTCAACATTTCCCTGAAGGTCCATCTACAGCTTACTACAGCCAGAAAGAAAAGCTGGGACCATTCCAGCTGCTCATTCCTCCACTGTTGTCCTGAGGAAAAGGGAGGGGCCTCCCCACAGCTCAGCTCACCCCTCTCCACACAGACGGAGGAGGACTCTATAACGGATACCTAATTAGAACAGGAGCTCTGAAACACAAGTCTGGTTTTAATTTTTCAGGCTCCTCAGGAAAATATCACATCACAAGAAAACAGAGACCTGAGAACTAAGGCAATGAAGTCTAGGTTCTAAGGGTGACTTCTGACTCCGGCACCAATGAAGGGTTCCCTTTGCCTGAAGTCGATGTACGAGAACAGTTGGAGAACACATGACTTAAAGCCACGTGATGTCCAAGCCAGCCTGATGCTCAGGCTGCCTCGCTTCCTGGCACTGCCACGGGTTCCCATCCTGGTTCTGCCCTCAGCACTGCTGCTCTACCTCTGCCAGCCGGTCCCCCAGTGCCTTGACCATGATGCTGCTATAGTCATCACACTGCTCCTCGTAGGCTCGGCTCAGCTCCTCCACCCCAAAGCAGGCGACAGCAAACAGGCCCAGGTAGTCTCGGAGGCCCGAGTGCAGTGGCGCAATGAAGTCTGAGAGGCAGAGGTACGGGTCTGTGCTGGTGGAGTCCTTCTCAGCCTGAAAATCCAAGGGGAGGGTGGGGGGCTGTGAGCATAGACATGGCACCACACACAGCGACAGCAATGTACTACTGTCAGAGAACAGAGGCTTCAAACAGGGAGTCCGTCTGTTTTGTGCACTGTTACATCCTTAACACTTAGAACAGTGCATAGTATTCTATAAAAATTTGTTGAATGAACAAATGAAATGAGACCCTAAAACTATGACATGACATATGCAGTCAAGAAACCAGTTAATTCCTCCTTGACACAGTGACTGACATTTGCTGGAGGCGACAGGCACTGTGCTAGGAACTGGAACCTAAACACTCACATCAAAATAAAAACTTCCCCCAAAGTGTTTTCTATTCAAAATCAACATTAAGTCCTGTAGTCATGTTCAGAAGGGGTCTACCAAATATATAAGCCTCTACTTTGGATCAACAGAAGTTCAACCAGCTGCCAGGTGAGCGGAACAGGGGCCATGGCTGCCCACAGGGGTGGTGGTGCAGGAGCTGGCTAAGGAGACCCCTGAAACCATACAGAACTCAGCAGGGTTTGCTGCTTCTCTGGATTCAAATAAAAATGTGACTCTTCCCACCAGGCCAGGTGCCTCTCCCATTTTCATTTTCAGCTTATGACCGACTCCCTTGTCACTAAGCTTACAAATAAGACCTTAAACATATTTCACAATCAATAGTTCTGCTGAGAACATAAACAGCTAATAACTAACATTTATTGAATGCTTACTATATGCCAGGCACTACTACTGATGCTTTACGTGAATTAACTCATTTAATCCTCTCAACAACCTTGTAAAGGAAGTGATAGCACCAGCTCCATTTCACAGACAAGAAATCTGAGGCAGACAGAGCTTGATCAACTAGCTCAAGGTCAGAGAGTGGCAGGCCTCGGGTTTGATACCACAACCAACGCTCCTGACTACTACAGGGCCCTGCTTAGGACTGATCAATCAATTAATGAGTGGCCAACCCAGAAGCTTAGGAGCTATTTGCTCATCAGTTTTGGAAACAACATGGCCTAACCGACACTGGGTGGACTGGTGCAGGCACATGGAGATGTCACGGAGCTCAGGGCCAGCTATGCAGGGAGGAGCTGCTCTCCAGCTATACTCTGTCATCAACTGTTCCGTGCTAATGAAGCAAGAGACAGACACAAAGCTTCAGGCACAAGGAGACACAGGTCACAGAGCCCCACCGCACTTCAGAAGGGACAGCAGTAAAGCTACTCAGAACAGACTCCCAGAGCAGGAAGTGGCTGCAGCCAGAATTCCCCGAGTGTACTGTAGAAAACACCTCTAGAGAGCACCGATCTGAGTAGGTAACAGATGGATGCTGAGAAGCCACAGACTGCCTGGACAAATAGGTTCAGGACATGAAAGATCAGAGGACATGGGAGCTGAAGGATGAAAAACTGGGCCAGGAGAGGTTTCTGACCTTAGTTACACCTGGAAAAGAAAAGGCACCAGTTCCCTAGAGAGGAGGGGCTGGACCTGAACATCAGACCCTGCCCTGTATTCGTGGTGTCTGAGTCTGAGCGCAGACAATAATGGCGAGGCCGCCCTCAGTTACCTACTCCTGGTGCTGTTTAATATCTTCAACGCAAGAATCTCTTCAGATGTTGTTAGAGTAAAAACATCTGTCATTGTGAATTATACTGTGGTTATGATTAAAAGCAACACTATCACTTCTAAATGACTAAAATGGTAGCAAAACTTTGCAAGAATAATTTACTGCAACCCTTTGTTAATAACTCTGGTGAATTCTGGTTCCAATTCTTGATTAAGACTATTTTTTATAGCAGCTAAAGGGAGGTGCATTTTGAAAGGTGGGGGGAGGGCATATGAGAGGGGCCTGTTCTCATGGTGCTGACAGAAGCCTGCTGAAAGAGCAGCCACGGGGGTAAGGACAGGCTGGGCTCTCCCCTCTGCACTGTGGACTCAGAGCAAGCTCCGTCAGCCTTCATCTTGTCCTCTGTAGAATGGACATACAACTGCCTGAAACGAGGCCCCATGGGAATCAAATAAGACAGTTCATCAAGAGCCCTGTAAGCACCTGGCACACATTCAGCAAAGCTTAGTTCCTGCCTGTCTCCCCTTGAAAGAGGAGGCCATCAGCCCGTTAATAACATGTGTGTAGACGAGCTGATGTGTGTGACCACCGAGGCAGCACAGAGCTTCTCATCCATCGCCTCACACGTCAGCAAACCCCACTCGCCTGCCTGCTGGGCTAGGAGGCCCAGCCTTCTCTCCACGTCCTCAGAGGCCTCGGGCTCGGGCCTGTGACCAGACATTGGGGTGAGGAGGGGCAGCACTATCATTTATGCAAAGCTCGGGCGTACTGATTCTTATTTACACTCTTCTAGTGCTCACACCGAAGGGCAGAAGCAGCGTGTCTCGGTCCACCCGGCTCTCCATACCTGTTGCCTCAGCCCATAAAAGGTGGCTATGGGCTGGGCAGCCTGGGGCTCGGAGCCCACTGTGTACAGGTGAATGTCGTCCTGGACGCTCTGCGCTGGCCAGAACCCAACCACGCCCCTGGCCTGCAGTTTCTTCGCACTAATCAGTGCTCTCAGCATATTCTGGGCATCATCATAGACTTTTTTGGCCTCTTCACCTATTAGGAAAATACTGTAAGAATTCACTTAAGGATGCCAATAACCAGCAATGCTTCCTTTAAAAGCACTACCCTCCCCTGTCATTTTCTCCCCCATCTTTCCCCTCAAACACTTTTTCAGTATTTGTCATCAGCACCACTCAGGGGGAAGCAGCAGGCGGTCTGGTGGTTCCTGCTAAGTGCAGCTTCTAGCCTGTCTTCCCAGCTCACACAGCTTACACTTTCCATTTAACGAAGGCAGGGGGCCAAACCTGTGGCTCTCAGAGCAGTCTGTCACACAGAGGGAAGCAAAGCAGACAAATCTTTCCGTCACCGATGTTCCTCATGCACGCACAATGCCACGGACCCCACAGGGACCTCTGGGACGTGGACAGGTTGTGTTGTCAAGTGGCCCCAACGCCTCTTAAGTGGCTTCAGCACGGTCTTTGGACGGCTGAAGCTCAGGGGCTCTTGGAGGGTCTTACCCGCACACTGGGCCTGGTCCCTGGGAAGCCTCCTCTCAGTTTCTGACTCTGCTTGTGACACTGAGCTGCCTCTCCCACTAAGGGGCCAGCAGGGTCTTTAGTCCTTTGTCAAGGGCATGGCCTGTCCCACTTTCCCTTAGTCACTGTCTTGCTTGTCTGCGATCACCCCAGAGCAGTTCAGGTGAGAACCTCCTCTCTGCCTGCGGAACTGGCTAGCCCGAGAGCCACTGAGTCACAGCCCTCACACACACCAGGGCCCCTCTGGGAAGCGGGCAGGGCTGGTGTCTCAGGCTCTTCTTAGCCCTAGTCCCACACTTCTTTCCATCAGGCCCCCTCCTCCTTGGCTCTATCACCTAATCCTCTGAATGGCTAAGCATTTGATCCCATGTCTCTGGGGGTAGGTTTTGGGGATGGGGTTAGATTCACCCACTTCTCTAGCTTATTGCCCCAAATGCCCCTACCCCATCAAGGCTCCAGGCACAAGGGACAACTTGCAGTCCCCAAATCACTATGTGTCTGTGCCTTTTCACACTATCCCCTCTGCCTGGAATGTCTTTTTCTTCTTCAATGCTACCTCTCGTCCCCAGTCCCAGTCTCAGCAATTCTTAATTAATATTCAAAAATCAGTTCAAATAACACCTCCTCCAGGAAGCCTCCCCTGACCTCCCAGGCTGAGGTCTATCTCATTTTCTTGTGTCAACAGAAGCCTGGGCTCTCCTCCACTGTGGCTGCACTGGCTAGCCAGGTACCAGGGGCCAGGGATTGTACTGTCTTCTCTGTTTTATCCCCAGGGCCAGCAGAGCCAGGCATGGAAGTGATGTCAACAATCATTTATTAAAGAACAGATTTAAAAAATGTCAAGTTCAGTTGATAAATACAAACCATTAAAGAGCTGAGCAGGTAAACAATATCCTATGTTATGTGGTAATAAACTGTATCCTGCATAATCCAAACCGCCGTTCACCATCTATTGTTGTCTTTCAAGTCCCAGTACTACATCTCCACTATCAGAGAAGGAAGGAGGAAGTACTGAACTAACCAATAGTCTTGTCCTGAAATATCCTGGGGAAGCCTCGATTCGGGTACTTGCCCCGGAGCTGCCACACATCAAAGAAAGGCTTCCAGTCGATGTAGTCCACCAGCTTCTGCAGGTCATAGTCTTCAAAGACCCGAGTCCCAAGAAACGTGGGCTTCACTACAGGAGAGAAGCACCCAGTCGACAGTAAGGCTGGGCTGGGCTGAGTGCCCCGCACACAGTGCCGCTACCATAGGCCTTCCTGGCCAGCTCTCCCCCGCTCTCCTGGCTCCCACGCTCTGCCTCTCTATCACCCAGAGGAGTTGTTTCACAAAGACGGGAACTTTAAACTACCATGGAGAAGGAGTCATTCTGCAGCGAATCTTAAATAAAACCTCTCCCATGTAGCTATGTAGCTGAGTAACTGCATCACCCTTGGAAACTTCCCTCAACCCTTCCACCCCCCACCCCGCCCAGGAAAAAAGACTTTGGTTAATCTGCACATGTACAAATGAGTACAGTACTGAAATAAAGACTACTGTGGAAAGACACGAATATAAAGTTTAAAGACACAAAACAAGTATCTGTATCATTTGACTATGTGCACACTGCTACATGTGCACAGTCAAAGTATAAGGAAACCCATGGTAGCGGGCATCAAATTCAGGACCATGCAGGGGTGGGAGGGAGGGGCACACGGGACCTCCACTTTCTTTTAAATGGGGAGTAGGTTATTTCTTAAGTGGCTATTGGTACACATGAACATTCCAAGACACTGTTCATTAGAGAGATGTGGCCCTGGGCCTGCCTGGACACCAAGAGCAGCAATACTGCTTGCGACCCTCAAGCTCCTGGAGGCGGCAGGCCAGGGTCCAGTGATGACCCCATCACCACTTCCCAGCCCTCCTGTCCTCAGTTTCCCGCTCTATAAACAGGGATGTGAGAATGTGTGCTATCCCCCAATCTCAGGTGCCCTGGGGCACACATGCCTCAAGAGTGTTTTTCTCATTAGAGAGTAAATATGAGGTGAAAGTACAGGAAAAGCATCAGTAGTGACTTAATTTTGGCTGGAAATCTACCTTCCCATACATGTTCATAGTAACTCTCCCATCTGCTCCTGGCCATCTTCGTGCTATGTAGGACGAGCCTTTCTTCACAGACTCCACTGTGTTTTGATTAGTAACTAAAAGGAAACTACAGCTAGTCCCCTGACCGCTTCCTGCTGCCTGGAAAGGCCAGGAACCGTCGGCTGCAGAGTCACTGAAAGAACTGGTCTGAGAGAAGAGCCCTCCTTTCCCCCTTTACTGACTTCCTGCAATGACCCTAAAACTGTACCATGTGCGACAACATGTCTGGGGACCAGCCCTCTGGGCCCCACTGCCCCTCAGGTAGCAGGTCCAGTTTGACAGAAGCCCCAATGGGGGTACAACAGCCCCTTGAAGTGTCCACAGCTGCCATGGGCTGCAGAGGCCTACTTCCCCTGAGAGTGTTTAGATGTCAACTTGGTTAAAATGAACTCCTCATAATATTTTTCTAATTTCACGCTGAAAAGTAATGAGAAAATAGTAGTTTGAAACATGGTGAGCTATAATTTTCAAAGCTTTACACATATTTTACCCTCACATTTCTATAAAGTGACTCCTTTTTAAACATCAGAAACTCTCAAATGTGGCAGTAAGATGCTCAAGGCCACGTGATGGTGCAGAGCCAGGAGCTAAGCTGGGGTCAGAACCAGGCTTCCAACTCCGTCTGCTTTCTTCCGGCTGAACCACACTCAGTTCACACTTCCTGTTTGACCCTCTCGGCTTTGCTAAGCATGCGCAGAATGCAGATTTCGCGAGTAATGAAAGCTGATTTGAGATGTTACCTTGAAAGTATGGACTTAACACAATCCCTCTTCACCTGTCTGTTTTGCACCTGTGATCTCATGCCTCTCTAAGCCTATCAAAGCACCTTCCACATGTATTCCCTCGTGAACACCAACTTAAGGCAAGGTGGCTAGAAATACAAAAAGAAGGAAACCAAATAAAGAAAACGAAGAGAGAAGCATCCAGAGAGAGGATGAGAGCGAGTGGACAAGAAACAGGAGACCCTGCTTTGCTGAAGCGCCTGAAAGGTCTGCTCCAGGCGAGGGCATTTTCGACTCAGACAATCCAGGTCTCAGGGGCCTGCCTGGGACCCAGGCCACCTCAGGCACAGAACCCTGGGCAGGCTCCAGAAATGGCTGCACTCCAGCCCAGCCCAGAGGAAAGAGTATGGGTTTAGAAGAAGAGCACAGCCTATTCTACTACCTCCCAAGCTATTACCCCAAATTCAGTGTCCTCCAATGAACGTGGGGCAGGGTAACAGCACATTCATTACAGAGCTGTGTCCGGGACTTGGAGCCCTGAGGGTCCCTCTCAGAACAGTGTTTTCTCCAGACGTGGTACCTGTTTACTTATATTTCCAATCATCATTGTCACTAATCATTATTAGACACAATTAAGAGTCTCTAGCTGTCTGTTGATTCTGTAGCCAAATAAATGCAAGCAGCCCTTCCGCCCAGGCACCACCCGCAGCCTTCCTCTACTCCTAACAGCCAAACGGACCTGGGTGAGGCTCGGACAGCCAGTCAATATGGAAACTGTTTTTTCTAGCTTGACTCAGGGTTAAGTATCTTCTCTCCTATAAAAAAAATAAGTTATTTAGTCAGGCTCTTAGGTTTTCAGCTGCTACTGCAAAAGTATGTCCAAGAAAGCTAGTACACAAGTTTGCAAGAATTTTTTTTATTAACAAAAATTCATATCCTAAAATGCTCTTCCTTTTCCATCCAATAAGGCTTTACACATCAGCATCAGAACATTAGAGAGTAAAGATTCAATAAATACCTACTAAGTTCCGATATATAAAATGAGGCTTACCTAAAGCCTGACCTGCGATGTCTCTGGCCTGTACTTTCAGAACACCTAAGGTGGGTTAAATGGCCTGCTGCCTGCAGCCCCGAGGACTGGCAGGCAGAACTAAGAACTAAAGAACTGTTGGCAAACCCAAGGAGAAGGTGAGCCGACTGGTGTCTGGGGCTGGCCAACACCTCAGAAACATCTGTTTTCTTCATGACGCTTGTTATCTCAATTCTACCTGCCTAACCAACCCCAAAAATGTACCCCGACACAAAGCCCAGCAGGAAGATGCCCAGAAATAAATACCCCAATGACTTCTACTCTCCACGGGTCCCTGTGGCTCATCGAGGGAGGGACAGGAAACACTACCCTGCACGGTCAGTGCTGGGCAGTCATAGAGAGAGGCTCACAATGCTCCTGTCCTGTCTTTACTTTCTCCCACTATTTCCTCAGGAACAAGGACCTGTGGAGTATTCTCAGCACATGGTTTCAGTTCCCATTTCTCTGCTGGCTCCAAGCTATTATTTTATTCATTCCCATAACTTGGAGCTCAAGCACAGCACCTAACACCTACTGTGTACTACCCAGTATGCAGTTTGGAGGAATAAAGAAAATTAATTTTAATATAACCACAAATTACTGGAAACCCAGACATGGAAGAACTGATGTGATCTAGAAAACAGGACTTCTCTAAAATGTTCCTAAACCTTTACCCTCCTCAAAACATGAAGTCACATTAAAAACTGTAAGATCGTTTTATCACCAAAACAAGCTGCAACCTGGTTTTGTCACTTACCTTGAGAGACTCATAGTGGTCCTGTCTAAGATCTTCATATTCTTCTGCGATCTCCTCAAAGTACTCATCTTTTAGATTCTCATCTAACAGTTGAGAACACTGAAAACACAAGATCAAAGTCAGTAACAGCCACAGAGCAGCAAAAGGAGTTAAAACATTCAATACTGGTCTGGTGACACCTCCTTCAGGAAGCTTTCCCATGTTAACACCATTTCCTCTCCCTTCATCATCCTTGCTAATTTCTGCCTGTCTGTGAAATAAAGGGTTAACTCAGTAGGCCTGGGGGATTCAGATCTTGCACATTAAAAAACAAAAACAAAACCTAGCTCTTGGAACATCCTGCCTGATAAGAGTGTCTGTCAACCTAGAGCCATGGTCCACAGCAGGTAGTTTACACTAACGATGTGATGTACGGGGGCCTGGCTCATGCCGTGGGCGGGCATGCCCAGACGACCGATCCCAGTAACAGCCTGGACCATGGCTCAGGTGAGCCTCCCTGATGGGAACTGCCCCATACCGGCTGTTGCATACCACTAGTGGCAGTTCAGCACTGTCCACATGATGCCACGGGGAGAGGACACCTGGAAGCTCGTGCCTGGTCTTTCCTGGATTCTACTCTATGGCTCTTTTGCCTTTGCTGACTTTAATCTGTATCCTTTCAGTAACAAACCAGACTGAGTATCTAACAAGCTACAGAAACGGAGGGTGGTCTTGAGGACCCACAACACACTAATTGGGGAGCCTTCTTCAGTGTTTCAAAGACAGCCTGCTTATCTCTCCATCACTGCCCTCACCACAGTCTTGGTCTCTGTCTAGCACCCACTTCCCTCACTGCAGGACAAGCCCTCTGAGGTGGGACTGTGCCCGTTTCTAGCTCATCGCCTGGCATGTGTGAGTGCATCCTCCTAAACGTTTGCTGAAGAATGAGGCTGATCTCCAGTCAACTGTGAGCTTCGGCTAAAATAAGAAAGGAAATCTATCATCTAATAAATGCGAGGCTACTCAGTAAATTGTAAAACTGGGATCAGCTGAATATTTTCCATGACGATGATTATCAATTTGGTAGAAGAGCTACCAACAAAACACAAAGTAAATTTACAAAGAAAGAAGAAATGACTGCTATTGATCGCATTAGCACCACCCTATCTCTGGCTCCTCCAGAATTTCCTCACACACAAAAAGACAGGGAAATTCATCTGAAACTGAGGAGGTGAGACTGGATTATGGCTAAAGTGATGCCCAGCTTTAAATGTCTAGAATTCTACATGAACTTCCTAAGTATCTCTAATAACAATCCAATCACCTATGAGTTAGTATAAAACCAAATGGTTTTATTAAGTAACATAATCAGAAAAGGCCTTGGTGGCAAGCCTAAAAATAGGCTTCCAAATGGTATTCACGCCACCGAGTATTTGCCCACCTTACATGAAGCCCTCCAGGGGAGTTCTCATCTCAGCAGAGCTAAATGACAGTAAGGTGTCTGCTCCCGAGCCC